ATATTTTCTATTTTGCAATTGTAAACTATATAATTTTTATTTAATTTCCCATTTGCCTCTGTGAATTTTGTCTTTTGTAGTAAAATGGAGTTCTTCGAGAAAACCAAGGCGGTGAGACTGAAGAGCCACTTAAACAAGTACCTGGTCGCCGGCGAAGACCAAATCTCCACACGGCAGAGCAAGAACGGCGCCGCCAGGAAGGCGCGGTGGCTGGTGGAGCGCGTGGACACCAACCCCCACGTCGTCCGCCTCAAGAGCTGCCACAACCGCTACCTCAGCGCCTCCGGCGACCACTTCCTCCTCGGCATGACCGGCCACAAAGTACTCCAAATCACGCCGGAGAACCACCACGGCGGCAAGGATTTGACGATCGAGTGGCAGCCGATCAGGGATGGGTTTCAGGTGAAGATGAAAGCCTCCGGTGGGACTTTTTTGAGGGCTAACGGCGGAACGCCGCCGTGGAGGAACTCCGTCACCCACGACAGCCCGCTCGCCGCCGCCACGCATAACTGGATTGTTTGGGATGTGGAGGCGGTGGAGGTGCCGGAGGATGAAGCCGTGACGGATTATTGGTCGATGGTGTCGAGCTTTTCGTCTGTTTCCGATGAGATATCCGGTGCGGAATTCGGGTTCGAGTCGCCGGTTTCCGTCTGCTCGCCGGTTTCTATCCGGTCCGGTTTATCCGGTTCAGCCTCGCCGTCGCCCAGGTGGCTGTCTTTCAAGAAGGTACGTCTGTTAAAAGTCTAGTCAATTGTGGATTTTTGATTTTTCTTCATCCAATTTGATAAATTAATATTTTATTTATTTATTTAATTATTGATTAATGATAAATTAAGATAGTAATCCGTGATAAAAATAATACTTTTTTTCTTTCGCACAAAGCACTAAAATAAGGTTTTACATTTATTTTTCCTTAATTAAATTATTGTTTGATGGTAAATTAAATACATAAATTAATAAAATCTTGATATTATAACTAATTAATATAAACCTAGGAAAATACACTAGGGAGTTTTAATTACTTTAAATTCCAATTTATTAAAGTTAACTTTAGGGTATATTTTTTCATTAACTACATTAATTAGTCGGGTTTCCTAGAGCCTATACCTAGAAGAATATATGGACTAAAATTTTCATTTTTAATGAATATTTATACATTTAAATGTGTATGAAATTCAATTTAGATTCTATAGCATATGTAGCCGAATTGGTCCAAATCTGGCTGGCCCGGCCCGGCCCGAGCATTTAGAAGAGTTCATCACACTGTTTTATTCTTCTTCGTTGACCGTTTTGGTCAATGAAAAGTTGGATAAATATTTTTCATTTGAAACCACATAAATTCATTTATATTGTTGATAATAATGTAAGAATCTTTATATAAACAAAAGGTAAAAAATAATAATAATAATTGATTTATATATGACAAGGACACGCATAAATTAATATTAATAGTGTCTATAGTGGCCTTAAGTGTGTTGCTTTAGAAAGTTCTGGTTAATTGGCCTAGTGGCCATTTATTTTGCTCACATTTTATTTTCCTACAAGATAAAAGACTATTGGTTTGGTCTAAATTGTTATTCAAGATAGGTTAGAACTTAGAAATATCACCTACACTTAAAAATATATATCTTATTTATTTATCTATTTTATTGCATGTTGTAATTTAAATAAAAGGGTCAATGTGCTCAGTATTCTTAAGGCCGAGTACTCTTTTAAAACCGTCATATTTTTGTATTTTGCTAAAAGACACTTGGGCAGCTTAGTTAGAGAGTTTAGATATAAAACAATCGTTTTACATTGAAAATACCTCATTATCATCCGCCTCATCGTCCTCAAAATTACATCCACTCCGAGAAAAAATGACATTTCTTCCACTATTCTGCATAATCCTACTAGTCCCATGCCGCCAACTGCCTAATTTCCGTCACAACATCACTGGGAAAATGTGATTCTTATTAAAAACGTCTATTGTCACTCTAAATTCTCTAGTTAAGCTGTTCGTTTTGAGTATACATCGTCTATTTTCAGTCTAAACTCTCAAACTAAATTGTCTACTTATAGTCTATGCGCTCTAATGAACTTAAAGCAAAGTTTAAATATCATTTTGAGGGGGTTTTAGCCTATTTTTGTCGTGTAAAAAACCATCTTGATAGTATAGATGGTGAATTATTTATATTTTGATCCACTTTATAGAGCAATTGAATCTTAAACTTGTTGGACTATTTGGGTCCATAATTTGGGTTTTCGACCCATTAGTATTGAGTATGTTAACAATACAATAATAAAACCCACAAATTATATCATAAAATTTAGGGTAAATTACAACCACCCTGAAGTATGATCAAATTACGAAAATTCTCCCTCTTGTTTGGATAATTACAATCACCCCCTTAACTCCTCATATTTAGTGGAATCTTCGAGTTTATATGGAATATTATCACTTTTGTACCCGTTTTATCCAATTCGCACTCTACATTTTGAAGCAAGATGATCATAATATGTGTTCTTTAGCTTGTATATATCAGATTGTGGTGCATCATAAACTGTATTTTTACACAAAACGAGTACACACTGGAGCACATTCCACGAAATCTAGACACACATGTTTAATTTGACACCATAAGGATGGATGTGTAAGAAAAAATCATGGTTGAAGGGGAGTAAATGTAATTATCCAAACAAGAGGGTTTTTTTTGTAAATTGACCATACCTCAGGGGGTGTTTGTAATTTATCCTAAAATTTAATTGGACTAAACTTTAAATAAACCAAATAATTAATTTAACACGTCACCAAAAAACATTTCCTTTGTCTTCTCCATTCTGTCTGTACTAATTCTCTTACCTAAAATCATGGCAACGACTATGTAAAAAATCCAGTCCAAAATTTGTCAAATTGATTACCTAAAAAGAAACCCACCATTGTTGTATTCAACTACTGCAGAGAAGACCATTGATCTCAATTATCGCAAGAACGCCGGCGATGGATTTATTCAAGAACGCAAAAGGCGTCCGCCTGAAAAGCTCGCACGACAAATACCTAATCGCGGAGGAAGACGAGGAATCCGTGACCCAAGATCGAAACGGATCCTCCAAATCCGCTAAATGGGCCGTCGAGTTCGTCGAGAATTCCGACACAATCATCCGCCTCAAGAGCTGCTACGGCAAGTACCTGACGGCGACGAACCTGCCGTTCCTCCTCGGCATGACCGGCCGGAAAGTTCTCCAGACGATGCCGGACCGGCCCGACAGCTCCGTCGAGTGGGAGCCCATCAAGGAGAACGGCGCCGTCAAGCTCAAGACCAGGTACGGCCGGTTTCTCAGGGCGAACGGCGGCGTGCCGCCGTGGAGGAACTCGGTGACCCACGATATCCCGCACCGTACGGCGACTCAGGAGTGGATTTTCTGGGAGATCCATGTGGTGGAGATTACGGTGGCGCATCCGCCGGCGCCGGCGGCGGTAAAGGACGAATCTTTTGCTTCCGGATCGAGTTCTCCGACCACCAGCCATTTCTCTGTTTCTGCTAGCTTTTCTAGACAGGAGGTAATTTTTAATTATGCTTTTTATTTATTTATTCATTTTAATTTCTTTAATCTGTTTTTTTTTTTTTTTGATGATTAGCAATTATTAGATTTGGATAAAAAGTTATTCGAATATATATCAAAAGCATATGTTATAAATCTCTGAGCCTCGTTCGATTAGCTATATCGGATTAATTTGGTGATGCGATTGAATTGATTCTCTATCGATAAACGAAGTACATGAACCTCGATAAATTAATACTCGATAAATAGGTAACCTCGATTAAATAATAGTTTTTTTGGCTCCTGACTCAATGAAAACATGTTAAATTATTAACTCGATAATTTAATAATTCGCTAAATTAATTTCCCTAGCCCGACAGTATTAATTTATAGAGGTTTAACTGTAGATATTCGGCTACTTAGATTAAAAACTTAACCTATAATATCTTAATTAGCTTTAGCATTTAGCACTTAATCTCTAGTTTACGGACGCTAATTTGGGGTGATTTTGTGCAGTCCGATGATTCTTTAATCTTTTCGCCTCCAAAAGCAAACGACGGGAGGTTAATTTATTTTCACGTAGCCGATGAAAATGGAGAAATCGAGGAGGGTTTTGAGGAGCTATGTATTTCATTCAAAGGCAACGATATGAAAGAATTGACAAAGAGGCTCGAAGAGGAGTTATCAATCGAGGGTATAACCGTGTGTTCAAAAAGCCCGTTGAATGGGAATCTTTATCCACTTCGTCTCCAACTTCCGCCAAATAATACAACCATGCACGTTATTGTGGTTCCACCATCATCGAAAGGTGATTCTTTTTTTACACTACATTGTGTCGATGTTTTTGTTATTTCTGATTTAAAATTGTTGTTTCTGATTTTGATTGAATGCATTTTTTTTTCTGGGGGTTATCGGGTATGAAAGATTTTATCACTTTATTAATCAAGAAAAAACTGGGTTAGTGAAAAATGGTGCATGAACTCGAGATGAGCTTGCTCGAAAAACGTTTGCGCTAAGCAATACTTTCTTGTGTCATTGATCAGATTAGGGATGAAATTATTATGTAATTTATTTTTAGGTTAATAAAAAATTGAAACTTTTATTGGAACGCCACACCTATTTCGATCTGAAAAATTTCCATTTTTGAAACAAGTTGTTTTCACTCCATTTTCCAAAATTCCAATTTCCGATTTTTCCAAACTTTTTTGGAACACAATTTGAATTTTTTTTCATTTTTCATTTTTCAATTTTTCCCGACAGTGCTAATTCGGGTTGATCCGTCAAAGTTCCACCCCTAGATCAGATGTTAAAATCAAACATTGATGATTTACTGTCTGAAAATATTGTTAGAACTTTGTTATATATTCTCTTTTCTTAACAGCATCTTTGGACAATATGTTTATATGAATGAAATTTTCTGCTCATATAAATATACATATATATTGTCTGCTCATATATATATATATATATATATATATATATATATATATATATATATATATATATATATATATTAATTAATTAATTAATATTATTTTATTTTGAGTGTCAGTGAGCGAAGAATCTGAAGAAGAAGAAGTGGAGTAGTGTGACGAAAATTCAGACATTTTTGCTCGAGTGACAGATTCAGCCTTATTGCATGTTTTGATTATAGAGTGAGTTTGTAATAACCCCTAAACACAACATATAAAATATGCCTTAACCTATTTGTACATGATGTGAGTTGTATTGTATATACACACAATTGTAATAATTAATTGCACGTGCACACCCCCCCCACCCCCACCCCCCCACCCAGCCCCCCCACACATAATAAATGTAATATACTCTTTTTATTTGGCACTGATTATTGTAGCTACATTCAATTAGTAGGCCCATATTAGAGCCCAATAAGCCCGATTTGAAAATATTCAATGCATGTTGCATTTTGAGTGATTTATTGTGTTTTGATGGTGTAAAGTGTTATTAACATCTTTTACGGGTGCAAAGTGCCAAAATACTGTATTTTCAAGGGTGCAAAGTGGGATTACGTCCCTTTGATCACCTAATAATATCCGGTGGCTACTCAAAATGAATGTGGATCGTTTCTTCGATCAAAAGCATTCATAGATAAGGGTTTGTTCTAGGGTTCTTCATTTACGTACATTGGTTGTGTGTGTGACGTTATCTTAATTATCACTGGCAAATTACGGCCACCCCTTTGATGTAATGTCAAATTACGAAAAAAAACTCCTCATGTTTAAGTATTTACGACGGTCCTCTTCAACTATGTATTGTCTTACACGACCTCTCTTGCATTGTCAAATTTACCAACTGAAGTAGGGGGTTTTTCATAAGAAAATGCAATGTTGAAGAGTTAGTTGTAATTACCCAAACATGAAGAGGTTTTTTATAATTTAACCTTACCTCAGGAAGCTGACCGTAATTTGCCATAATTATCACTCTCACGAATTAAACATAGGACACCCTATATGTTTATTAACAAACTCCATTTAACGATTGAAAAATACAAGACAAAACAAACACACCCGGAAAATCTCATCAATTGAGTTTATTCAAATACTATAATAGAGGAGGACCTTTTAGCAATTGAAAAATAACATAAGGGGGGATTATGCAATTAACTCTTGGGAGATATCTTTAGCTAACATGAAATATTGGTTAGAATCAAAGCCACGTTTCTATTATCGGGCCACAAAGAAAGTAGACCCACATGATATTAACATTATTATTATATAAATATCTGTCGGCCCAATAGTTTCCTTAGTTCTAAGGCCCACTCTCCTCGTGGTTTAGGAAGCCCAAACGCTTGCGATACGACGTCGTAACGCTGCGGTGACAGTCGCCAAAAGGAGATTCTCTCACGCGCTGTTCCCAACGCACACAATAGATACTCTGTCGGCCCACATTCCTTACGCGCCTGCACGTTCTCTTCCTTCCCCCTCGCATTTTTTTTTTTAAATTCCCATTAACCCTAAAACATGGCTGTCACATCAATTATTTTCGATGCTTTGTTACACAAATTGACTTTTAATCATTTTTCAATCCATGTATGGTTAGAGCTGGGATCGAGATTCATGTGAATCGAGCTTGGGTTGACTTAAGTTTATTTACGACGGACCTCATTATTATATGTTAAATTTGGCTCTTGTTTTTTTTGCATGTTTTGGGTTACTATCGGGTTTATATTAAACAATATATGACTTACAAACTATGCAGTCGAACGTGTTCAAAAAAACGAAAACCTTCCCAACTGAAGAGCGCCGAATATAGAATATCTACGAAAAGCAAAATAAGATAAAAACCATAATTTGTTCCAACATTGCAACTTTTAATCCTTACATAATTAAATAACAAAAATGCATCAGAGTCCACTTACTTATTGTTATTTTAAAATAAAATGTAGTACGGTTGTAACTTGTAACTTGTTGAGGCCTATTATTAAAAAAATGAATATATTATATATATAATTATTAACTTAATCAAGACGAACTTTATTCGGGTTGGACCATAGTACACTAAAACTCGACTCATAAATGAATTGGGATTCAATAATATAGCTCAGATAATGCCCAACTCAATAAAATTAGATCAAATATAATCGGACTAAACTATCAGACTTCAGTTAGGTCCGACTCAAATTGCTGGTCCACACGAATGTATGGTAGAAATGATTTCTTCGATACCGTGTTTAATATTTTATTTTTAGGAATGACAAATTTGGTAACAAGTAATAAAAACGAGTCCTTAATAATTGTTATTCAAATATAGCAATAAGTAGCAATCATTCATAATAATACAAAAAACAAAAAAAAAATAAAAATATATATATATATATATATATTTTTTTAATTTTAATTTTTTTTTTGTTAGTAGTGGTACATCCCCAAACACGCCCTTAGGGACTTCGCGAGTCGCGACCACTATTCTCTTCTTCTGAAAAAAAGTGTATATGAGAGAATCTCAGAAACTCCCGTCATTTTAACAACCTCCTCAAGCCAACTCAGCGTAACGTGCGCCGTTCTGCTATCGTGCGCCTTCCTGCTAGCGTGCGCATTCCCCGCCGCCGCCGACGACGACGACGACCACCACCACAAACCCATTAGAAAACTCCTCCGAAAAAAAAAGGAGCTCTGTGTCACTGTTTGTGTGTGTGTGAAAATGGGAGTGGATTACTACAACATACTGAAGCTCTCGAGAAACGCAACCGAGGAAGATGTGAAGAAATCGTACAAGAGGCTCGCGATGAAGTGGCACCCCGACAAGAACGCGGTCAACACCAAAGAAGCAGAGGCCAAATTCAAACAGATTAGCGAATCGTACGATGTACTGAGCGATCCCGACAAGAGGCAGATCTACGATTTGTACGGCGAGGAAGGCCTCAAATCCGGCCTCTACCCACCGCCGAGTCCCAAAGACAAAGATTCCACCTACGGCGGAGCTTTCAAGTTCAGCCCCAGAGACGCCGAGGACATTTTCGAGGAATTTTTCGGCGTCTTAGACGGCGGCAGAGTTAGAAACTCCGCCGCCGCCGCCGCCGGAAGGAAGGCGGCGGTTGTGGAGACTAAGTTGCCGTGCACTTTGGAGGAGCTGTATAAGGGGTCGAAGAGGAAGATGCAGATATCAAGAATCGATCTTGATGTTTCAGGGTATGTATGATAAATTAAAAATATTGTCTTTATTTTAATTTCGATTAAATACAGGTAAATTAATTCTCAATAAATTAATTACCTCGCTTAAATAATACTCCATTTGTTCAACAATAACGGTCTCTTTTTTTAAATATTTTTGTTCCATATTATCTATCATTTTAGATTTCTAATACTGCATTTTTCCTTTTTTAATTTTATTAATGAAACTCTATTCATTAATTTTCTCTTATAAATCATTTAATAATAAAGGTTGTTGTAGTCATTTTTATATGATTTTTGTAAAATCAAGATATATTTATTGAGTTTCTTAATCTTTGTGAAAAGTGAAAAGTGACAATTATTTAGGAATGGAGGGAGTAGTTTTTTCGGGCTCTCCGTGAAAATCTACTAAATTATTTGTTCGATAATTTAATATTTTGCTAATTTAATAAAATTCTGCTAGTCTCGATTGTATTAATTTACAGAGATTTAACTATAAATTAATAAGTTCGATAATTTAATATTCTGCTAATTAATAGAATCTTGGTAATCTTGGTTGTATTAATTTATAGAGAGTTAAACATAAATTATTAGTTCGATAATTTAATATTTTTCTAAATTAATAGAACGCTACTAGTCCCAATTATATTAATTTATTGAGGTTTTACATGTATTACTCAACCTAATTAATTTCGATTATATATTAAAATATTATTACAGAAAGCCTATTACAGTTGAAGAGGTATTATCCATACACATTAAACCCGGTTGGAAAAAAGGGACAAGAATTACATTTCCAGAGAAAGGGAACCACGAACCGGGTTCAGCAGCAGGGGACCTGATTTTTATTGTGGATGAAAAACCACATCCTACATTTAAAAGGAATTGTAATGATTTAATAATGAATCAAAGAATATCCCTTTTAGATGCTCTCACTGGCAAGAATCTCAGCGTGACGACGTTGGATGGGAGAGATATAGCTGTTTCGGTTTCGGAGATTGTGAAACCTGGACAGGAGATTGTAGTGGAAAACGAAGGTATGCCGATCTCGAAAGAGCCTGGGAAAAACGGGGATTTGAGGATTAAGTTTGACGTGAAGTTTCCGTCGAGGCTTAGTGCGGAGCAGAAGTCGGATTTGAGGAGGGTGCTGGGCAAGTCAATGTGAGTTTTGTTGTATGTAATGTACTAATGTTGTAGTGTAGATAATCTTTATTTTTCAGATTAGAATGTGCATTGTAGGAGAAAATATATTGTTGATTTTTTTTTTTTTTTTGGGATATTGGGAAATATTTTTCAGCTGCTATAAACTAAGCTTTGTGTGTGTGTGATGTGAAATGTGTAAAATGTTATGGTTCATGGGGATCATATGTATTCTTGTAGTTGAAGATATGGAGTTGGCTTTTTTTTTTTTTTTTAGTGAATGTTTTTGAAGTAGTGGCTTTCCTATCTGTTAATTTGTTGTTAATTACTATAGGTTAAGTAGATGTGTAACACTAAAATTCTGATACATTGAGGTGTCAAATTTAGTGAAATTTTCTAGTGGAATATTCTATAATTTGTACCCATTTTATCCCATTTGAGCTCCACATTTTACCATAAGATGTATCTATTAGCTTATAAATATCAAATTGTGGTGCATCAGTAATTACATTTTTGCACAAAATGACTACAAACTAGAGAATATTACACGAAACTAGAAGATTATGTTAAATTTGATTTCATAAGGGTGAACGTGTAAAAAAAAATTCATAGTTACAATTTGGATTGTAACTACCCAAATAAGAAGAGGGTTTTTGTAATTTGATCTTACATTAAGGAGGTGGCCGTAATTTACTCAAATAAAAAATAAATGCAATATGAACATTCGGCGAGGAAGAGAGGAAAAGAAAACAATTTTTGAAGATAGATAGTCCAATGCAGTAACAATCAATAAAGCATGCAGAAATATATGGACATCAAAACTTCATGCTCATATGCAACCCAAAAAATAAAATAAAAAATGGAGATAGTGAAGCTGAATAAACAAAGATCACAACGAAGAAGCAGTCCAAACAAAGATTTCATTTTTTCATCCTCATTGTACTTTCACATTCATCCAAAAACGGGTGCGGGTGCAAAAGGTTTTACGTGAGACCACCATTACACTGTCCTCGAATCAGATCAACAAGAACCAAAAAAGAAAATAACTTAAAAATTACCAAATCGCCACCCTAATACACGCCATCATGTTCTTCAGCAGAAGAAGCAGCACGGTGGTTGTAGTTTCCACCCCTGCCACCTCTGCCTCTGTAATAATTGTTACGGGGGTAATAACCCCCCTCCTGATCGTAAAATTGACCACCACGGCCATTTTGATAGCCCCCTCTGCCGCCTCGTCCCCCACGGCCGTTACTGTAACCTCTGCGGGAGCCACCACCGCGTGGCCCACCGTAGTTCTGGTGAGGCTTTCGAGCGGTTTGCTGCTCCTTCGAGTTTTGGTCAACTTCTGAATCGGGTATACCTTGCTCTGTTTGTGCCTGAACTTCTGATCCATTTTTCACTCCCTATATCCAAATTACCCGAAGTTAAAAATAAAATAAAAAATATATATATATAAGAGTCCAAAATCTTGATTAATCACATTTTTTGTTAAGAAAAACAAATGTACTTACCTGATGGAGTTTTTCGACATGGCTGATTTCGTCACCGTAAATTTCATTGTTGTGGGAATTGGGTGATTGTTCTTCCTGCAAGGTCTGAAGTTCAATAATTGTGACATTGAAGGAAAGATTACTTCAAGGAATTTACAAAAGTCAAAATTCAGCATCGAATCTATACATTTCTTTTCTAGTGCTAGATGGAGAATACGAGTCGTGATAGATAATAATAACTTTTTTGAAGAACAAAATCAAGAGATGTGGTTTTAACTAACTGGCTACCTGCCATTGCGAAATCAAACATAATATTTTAAGCAAGAAGTGGAATGATAAAGCGTTTTTAATAATAAATCCACAATCACAAAAATATAGCACAATAGTTTGAAAACGAGAGAGTGAACTGACATGAAGAAAAATTTATAAGTGATTCAAAGATGGACTTGTTTGTAACATATTGCAGTCGTAACATAGGTTTCTAAATAAAGTACCATGTTCGTTTTATATTTGCGTACATTAGCTAGAATTATCTAACAACATCTTATTTGAGACAAATGATTCTTCAAACTCTTCCTTACTAGAATAGGTAGAGTGCTTCAACATTTACTCGTAGAGATAATGCAATGAATAAAGACATTAAAAAGTACGAGTTATAAGTTATAACCACCGTCTTGCATTTTAAAAATGACAAAAGGATTAATTTCCGTGCAATTTATTTTGAACAAATAATCTAATATTACCTCTTGGCGATACTCCACAGACGAGTCTTCCACGCCGACTGAATGCACAGGCACCTGAAAAGAGGTATAATTGCCGCCAGCAGCTGCCACTTCAACTGGAGCCTTTATTTCTGGAGTAGTTGTAAAGTAGTCCGATGCCATAATTTTATTCAACTTTTCCCTCAAGCCGGCATCTAATATAACCAAGAAAACAATAAAACTTGTAAACTTCAGAACCAAAAAAACCATTTTCATATTTCAAAATATTCGATTAAGAAAATCACCAACAAAATCACATTCCATTGACGAGATCCACCTAATCACTGCCAATTAAAATACTTATATAGTTGATCACAAAACCACTTACCACAACTTAGCACATATATCTATCAGAAAGCCAAAGTTAAACTAAATGAAGTTGCACTTCCCATAAAACTGACAAGTAAAAATATAAATCTTTGATACAGCCATAACCGACAACTAGCATGTCAATGTATAAAGGCAAAAGCAATCTTCATAGACTTTACAAGGTACGTCTTCAAATTTCCTAACACAGACTTTTATCAGAAATATTACTAATCCATACAAAAGAACCAACATAGAAAAGGGTATCCGTACAGAATCTAAATAACATAGATAAATAAACAAGTAAAAAAAATAGTTGAAATAATCCAGTTTGCAGCTGAGCTGGCACCTTCCTATACAAATCAGTAAAGCAAACAACTCCCGATAAAGCTAGTGCGATAACCATCCCATCATCACTAAAAACGCGAGAATCGCGCATCTCAGTTCATATGTACACAGACAAAAGTACATACATACACATTGTTATATTACACGGATAAATGTATTATACAATTTAACAGTCTAGTTACTTCGAATGACCACTATACTCTTTAAGCCAGAAATTAACTACTAGAAACAAGTAAATCACAATAAAACGAGAATATACACATTCAAGTAAATGAGAAGTGCACGTTTACAGAGTAAGGGCAAAGTTTTCGTACATGTGATATCCGAATTGGGCTCGATAGGCTGCTCCGAATTCGCAAGCCACAGCTTCGCATGCTCCACGCATTTCTGCAACGAGTCCTTATGCGACAAGCTCGAATGAACCGGCCGAGAAATCAACGAGCCACCGAGAATGGCAATCAAATCCAAGTCCCACTCTTTCAGAGGAGCTCCTGCAGCATCATCGTCCGTAACGTAATCGTACGTCAGGCAGCAATTCCTCTCATGCGTCCTCGTCAGCATGTTATCGTGCGCGCTCATTAGAGTCTTCACATCAAAAACAGCGCCGAAATACAGCAAATTGAGCAGATCGGAAACAGACGAAACGTCGTCGTTTCCAGCCTTCTCTACAGTCTCCACATACTCTTCCTCGTTGGGCGTTTCTGCGGTGAGGATTTCTGGATCCTGCTTCTTTTTCTCTAAAGCGGCTTCAATTTCCTGATCCACGGCTTGTAAGATCGGCTGGCGGATTTTTTCCAGCTCGTCGATTCCGGCGAGAACGGCGGATTTGGAGCGGTAGGTTTCCTCCTGTTCTTTGTTGAGAATTTTCCCCTGAGAAAGCGACTCTTCCATTTGGCTTATGCGGTTGAGCTTCTTGCGCAGGGCGCGGAGGCGTTTGTTGATTAGATTGAGGACTGGTCCCTCGTTTGCGATCTCGGAGGATAGCGATGCTGATGCCGCCGCCATTTCTGGTGGTTGCGGTGGTACAGGTAGAGATGAAAATGTGAAGGATTAGGGTTTAGGCCGCCGTGGCGGCTGAGGAGGAAGGGTGGGGTTTGCGAAGGGTTTTTGTGGAACAGATGAAGCGGCGGGCTTAAGGGTGCGCACAGAAGTGATAGAGAGAGAGAGAGAGAGAGAGAAAGAGAGAGAGTGTGTGGATTTTTACTATTTAGTGAGTGGTTTTATTATTAAGAGTTGTTCAAGGGTAGTAAGGTCAATTTAAGAGTCAATTATTTATTGAGATTTCGGTTTTTGTAGCAAATATTTAATTTGAATATAATGTATAGTACCTATGTCTTACCTTGTAATTTTATTTTTCTAGAAAATAGAATCATATATTATTAGGGTAAATTACAAACACCCCTGAGGTATAGTCAAATTACGAAAACCTCCCTCTTGTTTGGATAATTCCAACCACCCCTCAACTTCTCAAATTTAGTGGAATCTTCGAGATTATATGAAATATTTTCACTTTTGTACCCGTTTTATCTCATTCGAACTATACGTTTTGAAGCAAGATGATCGTAATATGTGTTTTTTGGCTTGTACATATTAGATTGTGGTGTTGCAGAAACTGTATTTTTACACGAAATATAGATGATTATGTTGAATTTGACACCATAAGGGTGGAGGTGTAAGAAAAAATTATAGTTGAGGGAGGTAGATGTAATTATCTAAACAAGAGGGGTGTTTTCATAATTTGACCATATCTCAGGGGTGTTTGTAATTTACCCTAATTATTATCATATTATTTGGACTAGATCACTTTCCTAGTTCAATACAGTATCTTTTTTTTTTACTATAATCATCAATTTATAAATAATCGAATACTGACAGCCATAGTAGGCCATGAAGACGAGGAATTTTGTCTTTTCGTGCAAATAAATGTCAATTAGTAGATAAAAAACTACATAGAAAAAAGAAAATGCCAATATATAAACAAGTCGAGATCGAAAGCAATCAAATACAAACTCGTAAAATCAAAATCTAAACATCTCGAGAAAAAGGCGACAATAAATAATAGCTAATTACATCTTACATTCGTCGTAACTCGTAAGTACTATTACGGAAAAACCTCAACTTAAAAGTAATGTTACAACAAGAAAAAACCCTTAAAAAATTATAAGATATCGTCGTAAGCAACAATTGACCTGCCATTAAAAGAACCCTCCGAGCCCGAATTACCAACGGCACCAGCAGCAACATTAATAAGATGCTTATCTTCATCATTCGAATCACCATTTTTATTCTTGATATTGCCATCGTTTTCATCTCTAGGGTTTACAATAGCTGAACCGAGCTTTTTACCTCTGCCATGTCTGCTTAACGGCACTTCTGCTCTTACAAGCTTCGATAATAGCCCGTCTTTCCGACCAACTCCTCCCTTCCATTGTGAAACTTGATCGCTTGCCCACATTACCTGTACCTTCATACACACAACAAACGAGAAAATAATCAAATATAGTTCAGTTCGGCTTAAGAAATTCGTAAATGCCTCCAATTTGAGATGTTTAAGGATATTTGAAGAACATAATCGGGCTTAAATTAGTTTCTTCTTATGAATGCCCTAATTTGGAGGCTTCGTTTAAAGGCGCATCGGAGAAAGATTTCATTTCTTAACTATAAATATGAGATTTTTATTTGCCATTTCGTATGTGCAGCTTTCATCAACTCTACATCGATTTAGGTCAGCAAATGAATTTCTACTCTTTTATAGTGAGCTAATTGATCGATTTCCGAGCAACATCAGTATTTAATTCTCAAGGATAAGTCCTAAAACCCTAGAAAAATATAATTCTGACTATTCTCTACTTAAGGCTAAATCTCAGTAGCTAAAAGCCTAAAACAGACACATCATCCGGGCCGGGCCGGGCCGAAACCCTCAAAATCGGCCCGATTCAAATTCAACGAGTAGCTCGCAAACAAATTAGAGAGAGAGAGAGAGAGTATACTGGAATGGAGTGCAGGGTAAGAGGAAAGCTGGAATCTCGGGCAGCATCGACGGCGGATTGTGCGGCGTCGTTGGATCTGAAATTGATATAAGCAACACCGCTGGGCTCCATTCGGGTACGGGAAATGGGTCCATAGATCTCAAATCTGGATTTAAGGTCCAGGACGGAGCACTCCGCCGGAATGCCAATCACCATCACCGCCGTCGGCGCCTTCGCGGCGGCGGAGGTAGAAGAGACGTCGACGTCATCTTCGCCAGCTGCGGCGTCGAGGGGGAGGGGACGGCGGCGTTTGTTGAGAGAGTAAGGGGCGTGGCGGGAGAAGTAGGGCTTCTCTCTCTTCCTGCTGTTCATCACTTTTTAATGGTGTAAGATTTTTTTAGGTTTCAGGCTGTTGTGGAGGGGAAGTACACACTACACGGTTCGCCTTCACCAGAAATTTTTTTTGCTAAATTAATATTAATTAATAACGTATTAAAGGTGAATTTAATCAATTTATAAGTACGTTTAAAAATTTACAAATTTACTTCAAAAATTATTTAAATAATTAGATCAAAATTAAAATAATAGTAAATATAATTTAGTTCTTTTTGTTTTGATTTTTTTTTTTTTATATATTACACCTTTTGGTTTTCGTTTTGGTACGATTAGGGGTGGAAATCAGAATAAAATTTTCGAATTCCGACGATTTCGATCTGAAAATACCCAAATTTGGAACCGTATTTGTCGTCCCAATTTTTGTTTTTTCCCAAATTTATTTGTAATCGAATTGGAATGGTATATATAATTATCGAAATTTCTGATTTCCAATCCGATTTTAGTATCGAATATAAAATTATTTGGAACAAAATCCACGCATTATAGCCAATAAAGCCCAAAAGTGGCCCAAATGATAACGGGCTGCACATTTTGCAAGCCCGTTTGAATCTAAGCCCAAACAATAAGCAAACACTTTGTTTATTGAAAAAAATATTAAATAATAAAATTTGAAAATAAATTTGAAAAAATTCAATTTCTTTTGTCGAAGAAAAACCATGGAAATGGAGCTCAAGTACATTTCTCCCTTCTAGAAGACCTGGTTTCCATCAATGGCCGCCGTTATCTCGTACCCATCCACCATTTCAGCACACTCTCCGGCGAAGTTCAATTTTAAACCCCCATCCCGTAAAACCCATCTCGTTTCTCTTCAATACAGACCAATTCCCACCACAAATTCAAAATCTCTGCTCCCATTTCAAACTCTCTCTCACCTCCGCCGTCACCAAATCACTGCAACACAATTCTCCGCCGACGAATTTCTAGAATCAACCGACAACGACGAGTCCTTACTGGTCTCCGACGAAAAGCCAGCGAAATACCTCCTTTGGGTACTGTTGTGTGCATCTGTGTCCATTTTTTGGTATGCATTTTCCGGCGAGGCTGAAGCAGCAGCAGCGGCCGTTGCTGCCGCCGATTCAATTAGGGCTTCGGGCTTTGGGGTTAGGGTTGCTAATGCTCTGCGGCGTTCGGGCTGGCCCGATGAGGCGGTTGTCTTTTCGTTGGCTACACTTCCGGTGATTGAGCTGCGCGGTGCTATTCCCGTCGGTTATTGGTTACAACTGAAGCCATTAACGTTAACTCTGTTGTCTGTTCTTGGGTTAGTCTCGAATTCTCTCTCCTGCATTTTTATTGTGGGTGTTAATGTAAACAATTCAAAAATGTTAGGCTGGATATTATCTTTGCTTTCTGTTTGTGAAGTGGTGTTTTTTTTTTCTATCGTCTTATTAGGGTATCGAATTGTAGTTAGTTGGCCGTTCAGTTACTTGGTCGTCCGTTTGGGAATGTTGACGGGATTGATAAGATTAATTGAATTCGATAGGATTACATTGTCCACGATAATGTGATAACGTACCATGTGATTATCTGATGTTTGGGATTTATGATTGTACAATCCTTGTCTAGGGTAATATCCTTCGTAGTATTCGGCAATAATAGGTGTGGGATTGGACTTAAAATCACTCATATGGTTGATTGAATTCCGGGCCCGTCTTTTAATCACGGGTTTTAATCCTAAACCTCAAACATTTGATACATCTTGATTACATTGGCTATCGGGTCCTATTTCTTATTCTCAGTGAGGCCTCAAATTTATGTGTTAGCTGATATTATATGTATTTTTGTTGCTCGTTTTAACGAACGGGTTTTGCTTTTCTGATCACTTCATTAAAGTATCTAGTTACGTAGTGTTTTGGACTATGAGTCCTCTATTAAATTACAAAACAGACATTCTTCACGGGGTTTGATGCTTTTTAAAAATACGATTATGACGGACTTTTGTTAATTCGTGAATCTAATTTGTTTTCAATTTCAAAATTACTTGCCTACATTGGCATGTTTGTAGATAGACAGTTATCTCGCCCGATAAGAAAATGCGACGATTTTTTTTTTTTGCTATCGTTTTGCCTTTCTCACGCTTCTTTATATTCTAAATTCGAGTTTTAAATGTTAGTATTTAATATGATGGCATTAATTTGACCTGGATGACCATACACTCCCCATTTATACGTAACTAAAACTTCGTCTATAGTCGATATCTGTAACAATAATATCTGCCACGTAAAACCCTAATCGGTTTTTGCTGACTAATACTTGATGCTGAAATGGGCAGGAACATGGTTCCAGTGCCATTCATCATACTATACCTAAAACGATTTGCGAAATTTCTCGCTGGAAAAAACAAAACTGCTTCTCGATTTCTTAATATTCTATTCGAGAGAGCTAAAGAGAAAGCGGGCCCCGTAGAAGAATTTCGGTGGCTTGGTCTAATGCTATTTGTGGCCGTGCCATTTCCTGGAACCGGAGCTTGGACTGGAGCCATCGTAGCATCTGTATTGGATATGCCGTTTTGGCCAGCTGTCACGGCAAATTTCGTCGGCGTCGTATTAGCTGGACTTCTGGTAAATTTGTTGGTAAATCTCGGACTTAAATATGCTATTTTTACTGGTTTGATTCTATTTGTTGTCTCCACTTTTATGTGGAGTATACTCCGCGGTCTGAAAAAGTCGTTGAGTGCATCATAATTGATGTAATAATTGGGGGAAAATATTATGTTAGTTGATCTTATTAGGACACATTAAATTTGAAAAATATAGCTAGTTTGAAATTCGAATAGAAAAACGTTAAGATCGTGTGACCTTGATTCTCGAGGCATGTAAATCGTGTTTTAACATAATCATATATGTGGTTTGTGTTGAGATCGTGGCCTTCGTTGCGGGACACGCCAAATTGATTTAGAATTGCATGAATTCCTATTTGATTAGGAACTATATATATCTCGAGAAAAACGGCTCAACGAACAATATGAAATTAATATCGAATCATAGAAAAATCAGATTAGGGTTCCGTAAATTGGGATACTCGCAAGATTACTAGATATATTAGAATCAGTCTATAACTAATTTTTTCCCGTATTTGGTAAATTTTCGTATTTTTCTAGTTTAATTAGGTTTTTGAGTTTTATGAAGACTTCATTATTTTTCAGCATTAGATCTGTAATAGTAAGGGTTTCGCAATTTTGGGATTTAATATATATTTTGGAGATTATTTTCCTCTTTTTCTGGAGGCTTTCGGATGTTTTCTTTTGTTCTATAGGATTAATTCGTGTCTTGTCTTCCTCCGGAGGAGCAAATTGTGGTTTTTTATGCAACTTCTATACGTAGCCCGAGTACTTGAAATCGGCAATTAGTACCGTTTTTACATGTTTTTTTTTTTCGGTGAAAATTAGTGCATGAAAAAATGTAATGCCTATAATACCCTCTTATCAGTAAAAAGTTTTCCAATTGAAATTTATGCGGGTGATTTTCATGGCCATGCTCAGTGGCGAGTTCAGAAATTTGTTACAGGGTGGGCTCAAATGTTTTAGGATTTTTTTTTGACAAAATTTGAAAATAGGAGAAGAAAAAAAAGGAGGAAAAAAAAAAGGAGCTTTTTTTGGATTAATTTGAATATTGGGTGGGCTAATTAATAAAAAAAAATGGGGTTTTTTTACATTAATTTGAATCTTTGGTTGGGTGGGTAATTAATAAAAAAATTGGGGCTTTTCTTACATAAATTTGGATTTTGGGTGAGCTAATTAATAAAAGTTGGGTGGGCTGAATAGATATATAGGTGTAAAATAGGGTTAAAATTATAAATTGAGGGGGGTTTGGTCCATGGTTGCCCAAGGGTGGAGTCGACGCTAGCCATGCTATTGAAGTGCATTGAATTGTTATGTATCGATGGATTTTGTAGATGCTCGGTGAATTTCATCGGGTGATTTTGAACCATAGATATTTACATAATAATTCAAACTCACGTGTATATGTGCTTAGTGGATGATTAATTGTATAGATCTATACGGTTTAAAATCACCTGATGAATTTCACCCGGTGTAATATCTCGTAGATCGAAATAAAGTTTTTGGTCTTCGGACAGTTTGACCATCAAAATCAACTCTCTGAAATTGATTTATTTTTTTTTCGGGTAAAAAACAATTAACTTTGTACAATTCTCTGCATATATACTTTCTAGGTTGTCACGCATGATCAGTAGCAGTGCCTTAGAATGCGACTTCCATTTTTCATGCTTCATTTTTTCATTTTCCAATTAAAAATAAAATTGATCAGTTGAATATATAAATAACCATACCATACATATTATATTGTGTATTTATACATTTATTTACAATTTGATGTCTAATAAATATCCATGATGTGCCTAATTGGGTTTTTGGCCCTTAAAGGCTCAAATCAACCCAATTAATATTAAAAGCCCAATTATTATCCACTACTAAAATCTCATAGGATGTTACCCTCACTGTTTTGGTAATTAAATATCAATATTGTAAATATAGATCTACTTTTAGTGGGTGTTTGACTAAACTTATGTTAAACAACTGATAAGCTCGTACGTCTGATAAGATGTTTTAAGAGCTTTACATCTTATTTTTAGAATTAATTTTTGGATAATAAACGTATTTTCTATTTTTACTCATTATAAGATCTTAAATAAAACAGGTATGATACAGGTAATTCAAAAAAAAAAATCTTATTTTATCTCCAACAACTTATTTAAAAATAATTAAGATTTTTTTTTAAATTTACCAAACACTCTAGAAGAGCTCATACGTTCTAAAACATCTTATAAGCTCAGCCAAACGTCCTCTAAATCATACACATAAAAGTCTTTAGAGAGTGGATAGTTATCAATTAATGGATCTTAATTTTGATTTTGTGTTTTACCTTATACTACTTATAATACGAGTAGATTAATAGATTAAAAGGGGATTAAGAAATGGAAATGCATAATTAGGGAGCAAATGAAAGTAGTGCAAGTATTAACTGAAAACAGATGGGTGATAGATACGGATCTCTGAACTCATTCATGCACGAAACTTGAAACGGCAAAACTTACATCTCTCTGTCTCACTTCTGACACGCTTCGTGGTGGTCCGCACGTGGGACTGCTGTCTCCCCTCACCCACACTGCCCCTATTCCCAGTTTCTTACATGCATGGGTTTTAGTGCAGATCCAAATACTTCTCCTCCATTCATCCTAACTTCGATCAAAAAATTATTTCATTTTCTATTTTTATTCTCAAAAAAATCTATTTATTTTTTTTAATTTTACAATTTCTTATAAATTAAATGAATTATTTTTTTGTAGTGTGGTATAGTGACTGAATCCAAATTAAAAACAATCGGGCCACCGTGATATTTAATGAGTGCAAGCAAACCTTCTTATCTGTATCCATCGAGTACAAACCTCTTGAGAGCGATTGGTTTAGGCCACGTGGCCCATACCCAATCTATGCTCGCCACGTGTCAGGCCCAATCCCTATCAAACGCCCGGGGCCCGTGTTGTACGCCTCTGCTGGTGGGTTTTCGGACGTGTGACTTGTGCTTTGACTGAAGGTTCTAGTACCCAACCCCAAGTGGGTGGTTATCCTTTTGTTTCAGATTTAATTAATTAATTAATTGCGCACACATTTTTCCTAATTTAATAAAATTGATTTGTTAATGATTTAATTGATTGAATTTTCTGATTGTCGGGAGGATCGTAATTAGTTATTTTTTCATGATTTTTATGGCTGTTCTACCTGATGTATTTTACTGGGTGTAACACTCTATAAACTCGTATTCAGTAATGAATAGTCATATTCAGCAGTATGGCCAATGAAAATTGACAAAAACCTTTCCAATATATATATTTTTTATTTTATTTTTATTTTAATTTATTTATGTGGGAAGAAATTGGTTGAGCCATAAGTACTGCACATATCAGCATTTATAGCCAAACTACTCAATGTGGACTGGGGCAACCTTTTATTACACAACTCCAATACCAAATAGTGCGTCTCAATTTTAATTGTTCATGCTTAATCTATTGTCACATCACTAAACCCCAAAAATAGAATATATATATATATATATATATATATATATATATATAGAGAGAGAGAGAGAGAGAGAGAGAGAGAGAGAGAGAGAGAGAGTTTTCTTGATTAAAATTATGTGTCCTATACTTGCAAATATTTGTAATAGGACTATTTACTACTCACTGATTCATCCATCTTTTAATATGTACTGAATCGTATAAGCTAAGCCCTTGTTTAGATGTCAAGATAAGATTAAATAATTTAAGGAATGTAATTTAGAAATTGCATTTAATATTATAATTTTAAAGTTGATTTTATGACAATGACAAAAGGTTAAAATCAACATTAATCTTGAATTGTTGATAATAATAATAGAGTTTATTAAGTAAACCTGCCACGCCTCTAGCATGCAAATCTTTAATTGTTTAATATTAATATATACTAATATTATATACTCCACGTATTTTACGCTAATTAATTATTAATCAGCTCCTTAATCCAACGCATGTAATTATATGATCAAGTGTGAAACCACAGAGAAGTGAACACATGTAAACACAGTAGTTGTCATCAGAAAGAATATATCTTTGTCTGAAGTTTATGCTGTATCCAAGAAGTAAAATACAGTATTTGGTGAACAGTTAATCTTTTTTAAGGACAAAAATGTCAACATCGATTTTGTGTCCCAATTTTAGGCTCAAAAGTCATTGCATGGTGGAGTAATTAACACCCTTCTAACAAGTATTTTGACTTTTATCTTATTCCTATTGCCCGGAAATGTGTCGGTTTTATCGGTCAATCGACCGCACATTCGTCCCACTTTTTTTGGCTGATAGTCGATAATCAACCGACCCATATAGTCGGACCGGTAATTTTATACGATTCATATATAAACGGGTCGAATGTTTTCAAATTGTAATATACAGAAATCGAATATTCCGTTCCAACTATTCACCCCCTAAGCTACTAGTGTTGTAATCTCTTTGATTAGCATCCAATTTTCTTGATAGTTCTTAATTTAATCAGCATGATAAAAAAAAAACAGATAAAATGTGTTCTTGTAAGAAAACTTAAGCATGTCTCCATTATTCTTCCTAAGAACCTTATATACAAAAAAAAAAAAAAAAAAAATATTAATGCCATAAAACAAATTAAGCACTAATTAAAACACGTGACACAAGATTAAATCCCACCATTTTTCTACCAAATTCGAGCTCAAAATTGCCACAACCACGTGCCTAATTGATCTTGAATAGGAAATCCCAAATTACAAGAATTTGGCTGCAAATCATCAAAAAATTCTTCCACCATCTCAAGTTTAGGCAAGCAAGAAGTAGCAGGCTGAAGAAGAAGAAGACCCGCCATTCTTAAGCTTTCATCCTTCTGTGAAAATTCAGACACAGACAAATTATCTGTCTCAAAAACATCCGAAGAATAATTGTCCGAATCAAAAACATCCGAAGTTGCAGCAGCAGCTTCGATATCTCCACATAAAAATGGAGTCTTTTCTTCAAAATTATCACACTCTTCTTTCACAACCACCTTCTCCCTCAGCAAATTCACCTACAAAAATGGAGTCTTTCCTTAAAAAAAATGATTTTCTTCTTAACAAAAATGATTATTTTCAATTTGAATTACCTCATCTTTTAATTTTTGGTTCTGGGCAAAAACGGCGTCGTATTCCTGTTTGAGTTTGTCGTAATTAGCTTTTAAGGAGGAGTGTTCTTTCTCGAGTATCTTGGTTTTGTAACGGGCGCGTCGATTTTGGAACCAGATTGCAACTTGCCTCGGCTGCAAGCCAACTTCTTTAGCTAGCTGAATTTTTCTGTCCGGTTCGAGTTTGTTTTCAAGATCGAAACTTTTTTCAAGAAACCGGACTTGATCCGGTTTAAGCCGTCTCTTCTTCTCCGATTGGTGGAAGCTTCCGTCCAATTCTTCGTTACTATTATTATTTTTATTTTTATTATTATCTCGGAATTCTTCGAAGTTAACCATGGATGCAGAGCCTGCAAAAAAAAAAAACAGAGTAGACAGAAGAGAATTAAAAATGTTACAAATTAGGTCAAAATTGTTTCTTGTTCGAGGGTAAAAATGGAATTACCATGAAAGGAAGGGGAAGAATTTGAAGCCCAGATAGAACCCTCCATTGATTTTTTTTTTAAAAAAAAATAATTCTGAAAAAAGATTGGATTTTTATTTTAATGGGAGAAAAACAAAAGGAAATATTTTCGGACAATTTTTAGTGAGAAGAAAGGGTGAGGGGCTTGTGTCGAAAGAAAGTTGTTTGAAGCATAATGTGGGAAGTGTAAGAAGAACTAGGGCTAAAACCCATCACTCACCAGAGAGATAGAGAGAGATAAATAGCTAGAGAGAGAAAGAGAGAGAGTGGTGAATTTGAGAGAAGAAGAAAAGCTATGGGGAGAAGATGGCTGCATATATGAAGGGTGTTTTGGAAACTTGATGGGGGAGAAATGGAGATTATAATAAGTTGCAGGTTTCTTGTTGGGCTGGGAAACTTATATAGAAATGAAATGGCATTACAGATTTACCCCTCTTCTTCTCAAATGAGAAATGAAATAACAATATAAAGATTTATTCGGCATCCATGAGTGTAATTTGTAAGATCAAAATACTCTAAAACTCGTGTTAAATCAATTTATGCAGTGTAATAGGGTCTGTTTGGATGGAAGGATTTGGATTACGGATTTTAAATCTTAATAACAAATCACTTGTACTTGTTTGGTTTGAGGTTTCGTTGTTTTTTGAAACAATTGTGGTGGATTTCAAATGACGAGACATGTTAAATCCTTCTCCATATTTTTCCCCAAATCAAATCGTCCAATCAATTGGACCCAAAGTCGTTTTACATTCCTCAGTTACTTGCTGACGGGCACGGAGTTGATGATTTTTTTTTTTTCTGAATTGAACTTTTGACGTGAAATATGTTTAGTTTGGAACAATGAGGACCAAAAGTGGAATTAGACTGAACATGACAATCGACTTAGATTGCAGAGCCTGTACTGAGGGGAAGCCAGAAATGCCATCGCTTAGGGCCCCATTTTAATTTGGGCCCCCAAAATTAAATAAAAGAAAGCCTAATATATATTTAGATAATTTTTTTTTAATAGAAAAGAATATTGCAAACAAAAATTTATAAGATCGGGGCCCTCGAATTTTAATCTCGCCTAAGGCCCTGAAAACCCTAGGGCCGGCTCTGTTAGATTGTACATGACATAATAGTTAATTGTCATTTTGATTTTAAATATGATTAGGTGTTAAAGAACAATTATGAAAACAAATTAACAAGATTTAGGGGGGAAAACATAGCCCCATTCAATTTGATTTTAAAAGACCTTAATGAGAACAAATTAAATGAACTACATTAGTTACAAAAAGGTTGTAAGCTAAATCGAGCAAAAATAAGTTTGGAAAGTAGAACTTTTCCTTTTGGGACAATTAATTGTTGACTATCAGATTAGTGAAAGTTGCGATTTGTGATGTGCATTTGAGCTTCTCCATAACAAATGGTGGTCTTAAATGATTATCAAATTATGGGTTTATGAAATACATTCATGCTTATATAGTTTAGCAAAAAAAAAAAAAACACGAGTCTTGAATCATCTCATAAATTACTTACAATCACTCGAAAACGCATATAAACATCGTCAAAGTGATTCGGACTCGGATCGATGACACTGTACTTTTTTGCTCAACCAACTAGGCAATTGCTCCTGATTCGTTAAAATTATTAGGGCAAAGTACAGTTTACGTCCCTGAACTATGGGGTTGTACCAGTTTGCCCCATTGTTCTATAAAACGTCTCAAATACCCCCCTCTATTTAAATTTTGTTTGTAAAAGTTGACGTGGCACTTTGACTTTATGATTTCTAGCTATTTTTTCCACCTTTGGACATTTTTTAACTACTTTGCCCCTCTATTCAATTATATATATATATATATATATATATATATATATATATATATATATATATATATATATATATATATATATATATATATTACAACTTTTTTCACTAATTTTTTTTTGCTTATTTTGTCAAAGTATTTTTTGCTCCATATTTTTTGGTTTCTTTTCTCGTATTTCCGTTTTTCTTCTCCTTATTTAACCACTAAAAGGCCACTGTTTTTTTCTTCTAAAATTTATTAAAATGTCGAGTAATAACTCAAATATACAAAATTCTAGTATTTCGTGGTACAAGACATCTTATAATGCACGAAAATCACCCCAAAAGTTATGCATTTAATTGAGGGCTTAAACAAAAAAATGCACAAAATTGAAAAAAAAAAGACAATCAACAAACATATTGAATCCAAATATTAAACACAATTAAGAAAATCATGTAAACTATAAATTCCAATGTTTTGAAAACCGGACCGGACCGGCCGGTTCGACCGGTTGAACCGCGAACCGCCTGGTCATCCGGTCCGGTCCTATGCATAAAACCGAAAATGCCTAAAACCCGGGTCAAACACTGAGAACCGGGAAAACCCCGGTCGAACCAACACAACCGGAAACCGGCCAGAAAACCGGGTTTTGTAAAACAAATTCAAAAACAGACAAATTAATTGTTGAAAATCGATCTTCTTCTCATTTGGGTTGTTGCAGAGTTGAGTGGTGAGGGAAGAGGAGATAAAACAAAAAAATAGGAAAAAAAATTAAGAAAACCAGACACAGGGGAAAGGGGAAAGAATGGAGAAGAGAGAGAGATGAGTGGTGTGGTGTCGGCGGAATGACGCCGACAAATTGTAAACTAGGGTTGGGTTAATCTATTAGTTATTAGTTTATCTTTTTAATGTTTTATTAATGTTATAAGTTCTCGTAAAGGTATATTAGTGTACAGCTATTTCAATTATGTTTTTCCTTCGTTGAAAATTTATGCTCATAAACTTTTTATTTAAAATTTATGTCTCAAAAATTTATTTGTACTTTTATATACTAACGTAATATCTTTTATTTTTTTAATAGAGTATTTTACGTAATTTCAAAAATTATGTTTTTATATTGTAAAATTTGATCTAATTTAATTTTACTTTGTGTGATTCAAAAAAATTAATTATAGTCTTTATGTTATTGTTAATATTAATTATAATGATATATATTGGTAGTAATATTTATTTATAAAATAATTACTCTATATATATAAATAAATTAAAAAAATAAAAAAAAAATCAAAAACCCGGTTGGACCCCGGTTGAACCGGTCCGACCGTGACCCAGTTGACTGTCCGGTTCTATGTCCGGTCCGGTTTTAAAAACATTGATAAATTCACTTCAATCACAAATTCATAACAAAATCGACAAATATGACCCATATTAATTATATAATTATTAAGTTTCTTATAACAACCCCCAAGGGCAGAGAAGTAATTGCATATTTAAATTAAAGGTGTTAATAATTTAATGGTTGACCATAAACTCGAGGGGGGTATTTGGGATGTTTTGTAGTTCAGGGGGCAAACTGGTACGACCCTTATAGTTCAGGGGTTCAAACTGTACTTTGCCTAAATTATTATTTTATTAGTTTTTAATCTTTATTTCAGAAGTAGGGCTTCGGCCTGCTGATTTATTTAACGTTGTTGAACTATTGCTTGTGGACTTTTCCTTAATGAAGGCCCATTTAGCAGAAGCCTATTCTTACTTACAAATTTATGTGAATATATTTTATTCTAATGTATGATCCACTATAAATATTAATTTGATTTGTAGCCTAATAATCATACATTGGTCCAACAATTATCTTTTCATTTTTTTTATATATATATTTTTTAAGTGGAGCTACTGTATATTTATAATTAAGTTAAAAATATTAATTCCCAATTATTAGTTAACCCTATGCACTAACAACTGTTTGTAATATAGATTGTGATCGAAGTTATTAAATTAAAAAAAAAAAACTAAAATTAAATTAAATATTAAATATATTAGTGGATTTAAATCCATGAATTACTGGTAGGATTTTGGAGCATAAAGATAAACATATATCAAAACCAACCATGGCAAATTCTATTCAAACATGACTTGTTGGTCATAAATATTTTGTGAAGTTTTTAAATGATCACTCTTTCTCTAAATATTGAAAAATGAAGTGAAATTCAGTCTTGAAAAGTTAGGTAGACAACCGGATTTCAATTAATTTTGTATGAAATACGCTAGGTATATCTTACCTAAATTTTTAATTAGGAAAGAAGAAATTAAATCTAAATTAATGCCCATGATTTCTTACATCACGCAATATTATTTATATAAAATATTAGAGTCTTAGATTGAAATTCATTACATTATGGTCAACACGTTCATACTTTTAATATAGAAAAACAATTCCACTGCCACAAAAATATATGTAGTTTCTGATAAACATGGCTACAATTTTATTTTTTTTCTAATTAGTGACGCAACGTTTAGTTATTGCTTATGAAACTTAGGATAAGCATCGGAATAATATTTTAATATGTGACGAGGATTCGAATTTGAATCAGTTGACACAAATTCACTTGCTTCAATCGTTTGGTCATCACTTATAGGACACTCGTCAAAAGTGACGTATGTGGGTAAGAAATGGACTAGCTTCCTTCAAGCGACGGAAACTTTATTGACTTCATTTGCACACAGTTTCTAATTTCTTTACTATAAATAAAATAATTACATGAAACAATAAAAAAAAAAAAAAAAAAGAAAAAAAAAAGAAAAAAGAAAACTATTTGCAATGAATAAGAAATAACTTGGTCATCTTTCAAAGTTTAAAAGAATTAATATGATAAATCAATTAAAAAATATCAAATTAAGACTCCTAAATTGATGGAACAACTACTACGTTTACATACACTATTGTTATATTCATTGATGTATTTAATTGCTTTACTTAAAGAAATTAATTAAAGAATTGGCCTAACATAGTAAAATTATCAAAACAAGCATTTAATTATCTGAAATATTAAATGTCGTTTCAATTCTACTAATACCATTTTGACCTAGACGTGATTTTGATCATTTTCTACTTTGAATTTGGCAAAATTCAAAAGACGGAAATTGTATTACTTTGAGTTAGCTTTCTAATCCAACTTGAATCAGCTAGATTGGATGTCGGGTGATAAAGTTACACACGAATGAGTTACATTTTAAATTTTACATAATTTAAAGCATCAAAGTTGTGAGCAATTCATTGATTCATGCGTAACTTTCTCAACCGACATCCAATCTTGGCGATTCTAGTTAGATTAGAAATCTAACTCAAAGAACTACAAATTCCATGTTCTGAATTTTGCCCAGTTTAAACTAAAAAATGGTCAAAATCACATTTGAAGTCAAAACAACACTATTAAAACTGAAACGACATTTATCACATCCTTTTAATTATAATCCAATGAAAATTGTAAGTCAAATTAGAATTTTCTTGTTTACTCAAATAAAAAACAAAAATCGTCAAATATCTACTCAATTTTTTTATTTAAAATCTTATAATGAATAAAAATAACTTATAAGCTCATTATCAAATCACTTCAAAAAATAATTCTAAAAATAAGAAATAACAGCTTATCAACAGTTA